GCTGGAGAGGCAGGGTGAGATGAGGGGCTCCTCTGGCTGTGGGGTGCTTCGACCAAGCCCCTGCCAAGCACCAACCTGTTCCACGTTGCACTGAAGTCAGCTGAGAGCCCGTGGCCGGATGGTGCCAAGATGGGTGGAAGCAGGGTCGCCAAGAGGCACAGCACCGGTGCAGGGTGGCGAGCGGGCAGGAGCTGGGAGAGGAAAGCCAGGGCGCTGCAATCCCTCCGCGGCCGTGTTGCTGGGCAGGTTGAAACCATGCTGGAGACAGGGGAGCCAAAGCTTTACCTGGGCTCCAAGTGCCGTTTGGGTGTGATGCAAGTGATACGTTATATTCCTAATCCAGGAGCAATAGGACACAATAACTAGGTGTAGGTGGGTATAATATGTGTGTACGTATGTGTGTGTGTATATATATATATATGTAAATACAGAGATATATATTTATATGCACCTAAAAATCACTGTTGTTGGAGTTTGGGGCTGGCTAATGTGATGTGGCAGCAGCGAGTCAGTGCACAGGGAGATGTTATTTCCCTGGCTTGTCAAAGCCAGCCTTGCGGCTGGTGGACCAGTCCCTGGCTGCTGCTGCTGAGGGCCTCTCCCCACATCCATCACGCTGGCCCAGGCTCCCCGGAGCCACCCCGCCCCCCCTTACGGCGGCTCCCCACAGCCCCCCTGCTGGCTTTTTGCCTGACCCCCGAGAGCACCGCTGCCCCAACCTCTCCCCTTGGGTCTGGGTGTAAGAGGTGGTAATAATAACACAAAGTGAAGGCCTGATCCTGCATTCCCCAGCCGATGCTTGGTGCCTGAGTGGGGATCCCAGGCTCTGCTCCCAGGTGGGATTCGGCTCGCACCCTTCTATCCCGCTGCTTTGCAGCAGCTGAAAATCTTGTGTTGATCTTCAGCACATAAGATTGCATCTCCACGCTGGGGAACTTGTTCTGACAGAGCCCCGAGACTCCTAAATGGGCCTGAAATGTTGTCTGCGCTGAATTATTCACTTATTTTTTGTGTGTTTTTTTAAATTGGCCCCCACCCCAGGCACTCTCTTGGCAATTAAAATAACGATCATGATATTAATTAAGGCATAAATCACCTGGAATAGTGCAGGAAAAAGCTAATCTTATAGTATCGTGAAAAAAAGAGGAAGATGGATTCCTGGGTCCAGCTCAGGCCTGGTGTTAAAGTAGAAAATACCCAGATGTGACCCAGAGGACGCGATTGTGTTAGCTGTTGGCAGTCTGCACCCTTGTCCTGTCCCTTCTGGAGTCCTGTCCTTGCTTTACACCAGGCTCAAGCCCACTGCGTGGCCACGGAGGTGCAGGGCCAAGACGGACCCCAGTGCCGCTGACCCTTCCCATCTTCCTCCGCAGGCAGGCGGACCGTTTTCTCCTGAGAGAAGCCCAGCCAGCTGATCAAAATAGAGTCCCTCAAGGTGACAGTTGACTTCTTGAAGGTGCCCCTCGGCCTGAAGAAGCCTGCGCTGAAGGAGGCTGCGGCCGCCTTGGCCGCCGTCCCCGGGCCAGGGAGACCCAAGACCATCACCGTGGAGCGGTACAAGGGTCGGCGCTCTGACAACATGGACAATGAGTCGCAGTACTCGGGATACTCCTACAAGTCCGGGCACTCCCGCAGCTCCCGCAAGCACAGGTGAGGGGCCGGCACGTGCCTGGCGGTGGGGAGTCCCCTCACCCCGTGGGTCCCTCCTCTCTGCCATGCTCACCCTTGTTCCCCTTCTGCCTTTCAGGGACCGTCGGGATCGGCACCGCTCAAAAAGCAGAGATGGGAGCCGCGGGGACAAGTCGGTGACCATCCAAGCCCCAGGCGAGCCCTTGCTGGACAACGAGTCAACCCGGGGTGACGAGCGGGTGAGAGGGGCTGGGCTGGGATGTGCCGGGCAGGGAGGGATGGGGCAGAGCAGCTCCTCCTCCGGCTCTGCCTCGTGTTTGGGAAAGGTGCTGGGCCGGGCCCTGCCCGACAGTGCAAATTAGAGCAGCCTCCAGGTTGCTTTAATCCAGGCTCCCATGTGCCAGGACCTGGAGCGCTCCCCCAACCCAGCGCTCACCAGTGGCTGCTCCCTGCCCCTCGGTGGGAGCATGGGGCCTCTGCTTCAGCCGTGGAGGCTCCCGTGCTTTGAGCTTTAGGTTACTAGAGAAGTTTGAGGTTTTCTGTCCCGATTGAGGACCGAAGTGAAACAAATCGGCTTGGCGGCACGGACCCAGCCTGTGTCAGGGTGCCGGGTCACCGCCGTGGCCCACCCCGGGGATGTTGCTGAGAGTGGGAGCCGCCAGCCATGGGGGCTCCCGACGTGCTTTGCTCGCCCCATGGGAGCGGTTAAGCCGGTCGGACTGGCCCTTGGCTCGCTGACAGGTACCGTGCTCGGAGCGCTGCCTTTGCGCCTGACGCCCAGAGGCAGGGCGTGTGGGAGGCCAGGGTGCAAATGAAAGGGGACATGCTGTCGCGCCACCCTGGGCCAGCACCCGGGGTGGGCACAGGCTGCCCTTTTGCTCCCTGCCCGCTGCCCGGCCCGGCCGCCCAGGGTGGAGAACACCCTTGGGATCAGCTCCCCTGGGATCGGCTGCTGTTGGCTGCTCAGCGCCTGCAGGGCGATGCAGGCTCGGCTCTGCCAAGGCGTAATAAGCCCAGCCCGACTCCTGGGAGGATCAAACAGACGAGCAGGTTTATGCAACTGGTCGAGCAGAGGCTCCTGTGCTGCATCCCTCCGTAGGCTATGCTAGACCTGCAGCCCCGCGTGGGTTTCTTGTTCCAACCTGCGGTGGGGTCTGCGCTGCTGTGGTCCGCTGCACAGTCCCCAAGCCCCGCTCTGGCTGCAGGGAAATCTCCCACCTACACTGCCTCTGCCCAGGCTGGCCCAGGAAGCCAGCAGTAGCCCAGCATGCCCAGCTGTGGCTTTGCTTTAGGACTCAGCTTCAGAGGGTCTGTGTTAGCCAGAGCAGTTGCTGTATAAATCTATCATGCAGAAAAGGCAACTAGATAAAACCTCTAGGGTTTTCTAAAGAGCCGAGTCAGGTCCCAGGTCACGAGAGCAAAATCCCCCATCTCCCCATGCCACTGTGCATGGAGAGGGGATCCCCTGCATGGCTGCTGAAGTCCCTTCTGAGGGACGGGACAGCTCACCCATCCCCTTGCTGGAGCATGGTCCCCGGCTTTAATCGTCTCCCAGCCACCTTCACGGGCAACTCCAGCTCTTTTAATCTTCTCTCATTAACAAGTCAGTGCCGCCAAGGGCCTGTGTTTATGGTAGTTGGACGGCTCGTGGCTCAGCCTGTCTGGTCAAGCAGCGGCCAGGACGAAGCGCTTCCACTGCGGAAACTCGTACCCCTTTGGCAGAGCTTACCTGCTTTGGGAAGGGCTTGAAATATGGGAGTAGGAGGCCTGGGAGCAGATTCTCACAGGGCCAGGCCCCGTGGTGGGAAAAACCTTGTGGTTTTCCCACACCGCGTCTCACATGCGACAAGTGGAGTCGCAGAAACAAAAGGTTTCTGTCTTGCCTTCCCCAGCGCACTCGACACTGCTCTTTTCCTGCACTTTGTCTCCTCGCAGTCCTGCCGTGCCCTGTCCCAGCGACATCCTCAAATCATCTGCCACCTCCTTTTGCAAATAGTTCTGTATTTTATTTCTTTATTTTAAGCAAGCAGTTCCGTTGTTTTGAGGCAGGGGCACAGTCCGACCTGTGTGTGTCCTGTCTCCTTGAGCAGCTGCACTCAGGGAAACTTGCTTCCCCCTGCACAAGAGACCGGTCCTTCCGGAGGTGGCTGGGACCCCCCATCTGCTCCTGTCCCAGGAAAGCCTCAGGCTGCAGATTGATTTTTGTTGTTACAATTTGGAGTGAAAACACCAACTTTCTTGCAGAAATTCTGGCAGGAAAAACACTTTCGGAATCGTGAGTCATGTCAGGTGAAAACGCTTTGTTTCAGTAGTGCCAAAGTGCTGTGAAACTGAATGTTCAAGTCGGGATGACATGATGAAAAGGCAAACCATCCAACTGTGTCATAGCGGAGTTTTCTGTGACTGCAGAGCAAAGTCTTCTCCTTCCGCCAAAACTCCACATTTTAACTCCATCAGCAGGAAAAAAATGAAGTAACTCATTTCAGCACCTCTCTAGCTTTAGTGAGAAGTCCAAACTGATGTGTTTTGCAAAGTGTCTCGGTTCCAGCAAAATAAGACTTTCTTACCGAAAGCCATCCTGTTCAGTAGCATGTGTAATTACATGGGGCAGAGGAGCTATTCTGCTGCCTCCAGCCCCCGCGGGGTCCCTCCGCAGTTATCTCGGAAAGTGGCCAAGGGCTGGGAACGTGCCGCCGCGGGTCCGGGCTTCCGTGCTCTAGGGTCGCGGCTGCTCCCCATTCCTCCCCACACCGCTCCTGTGTGTTTGGGAAGGAGTGAGCCCTGCTGACGGGCCGCGTCCTTTGGGAAGGGAGCTGGGTTCGGCTCAGAGCTGCTGAGGTCTGTCACCAGCCTGGGGTTTTGCTGTGAACACCCATGGTAATGCTTTTGTATAGATGTTTTACAAGAGAGGACTTAAGCAGGAATTATATCTGCTCTCCGGAGGAAAAAAGCCAGATTAAAGTCAGGTTTAAGAGCTCGTGAAAGTGATGTTTCTCCCTGGGAGAGATGCATACCTCAAAATATGCTCATGGGGCAGCCAGTGTGTCCAGGAGCCCCCAGCGGGGAGCAACTTGGTCATGGGTGATTTTGCCGGCCGCCAGCACAGTCCTGGGGAGCCAGTGCATGGAAATGAGGCCCGTCTGCTTCAGGGCTGGGCGCGGGCACTGGGCTCCCACGACTTTGTTCTGCCCTGCGCTGTGCTGGAGGAGGCCGCACCAGCCTGTGCGGAGGCGGCGGCGAGGGTGTGTTGGGACTGCAGCTGGGCATGTTCGCTCTGGCCCCACTAATGAGAGGATTTGCCTGGAAACAGGATGCTTTCCACTTGCAAAGCTTTGCTTGCCACTGTTGCTGGCGTGTCGTTCGCCGCGGAGGTGGAGAGCGTCAGGGAGCTACGCGCTGTCCTGGCTCTGGCGAGGATTTCCCAGGGGGTCTTGGCCAAGTCGCCGTCTGCCTCCAGGCCGCGCTTTCCACCGTCTAAATGGGGGTAATGGCACCAGGCAGTACACCAGGCTTAGAGGTTTGGATGATGGGAGATACTGGAGCTGCCGGTGGGTTGCGCTGGGGTGGGTGAGACTCCGGGACCACACGGCTCATGGCAGGCAGCTCGCGGGGCGTCCGGTCCTGCTGGGCGGCCTCGGTGTGCTTAACCCGTCCTTTCCTCCCTGCTTCCCCAGGACGACAACTGGGGCGAGACTACCACAGTGGTGAAGGGCACGTCAGAGCACAGCATCTCGCACGATGACATCACACGCATCACCAAGGACATGGAGGACAGCGCACACCTGGACTGCTCCCGGCACCTGGGCGTCTCGCTGGCCGGGGCGCTGGCACTGCTCTCCTTCCTCACCCCGCTCGCCTTCATGCTCCTGCCCCAGCAGCTGTGGCAGGAGGACCTGGAGCCCTGTGGGACACCCTGTGAGGGGCTCTTCATCTCAGTGGCCTTCAAACTCCTCATCCTCCTCCTGGGCAGCTGGGCTCTCTTCTTCCGGCGTCCCAAGGCCTTCTTCCCCCGTGTCTTTGTCTTCCGGGCGTTGCTCATGGTGCTCGTCTTCCTCCTTGTCGTCTCCTACTGGCTCTTCTATGGCGTGCGCATCCTGGACTCGCGGGACCGCAACTACCAGGGCATCGTGCAGTATGCTGTGTCACTGGTGGACGCGCTGCTCTTCGTGCACTACTTGGCCGTGGTGCTGCTGGAGCTGCGGCAGCTCCAGCCCCAGTTCACGCTCAAGGCCGTGCGCTCCACCGATGGGGCCAGCCGCTTTTACAACGTCGGCCACCTCAGGTGCGGCCCGCGGGGGGCAGGGAGGCGGGG